ATATGGCAATTGCCATACTGCCACACTTGTGAAAGTAAAATCTGTTGCACTGCAAAAAAATTAAGTAATTTCTTCTTAAATTAAGTGCATTTTTTCTTGAATTAAGGATTTAAGTGAGACACTTTGCCAATGGAACAAGACAGTTTGCACTTAGAATAAGAAAAAAACAATTGCATTGTCTTATTTCAAGTGCATTTTATCTAGATACCTTATTTTAAGAGTAAAAATACTCATTCCATTGGCAAATCATCTTATTTACCTGCTCAAAATAAGGGTAAATACCCTTAATTTAAGAATTTTTTAAATCATTTTGAGATCATTTTTGCAGTGTGGGCTCTTTTTGGCATCAAGACAAATATTTTTATTGCCACATTGCGAGACAGGACAAAAAAGGGTATCTAAAGATTATTCAATTTTTGATAATTTCTGCCTTTTTTCTCCTGAACTCTCTTTCAGGTTCTTCAGTTGCTCAGCTTAAAGCTACGGATCCTGAGGGCGAGCCGCTCATTTACGGGGTTTCAGGAGAAGAAGCCATGAGGTATTTTTCTGTGAACAAGGACACCGGTGTGGTCTGGCTTCGACAGCAGCTCGACCGAGAGGTACAAACACACCGCCTTAACTCTGCATGGATGCAAAGTGAATGCAGCACGGACTAAGAAAATAACATGTTGAACAAAATAGAAAGTAAACCACCGAATGACGGAAGAGAAGTAAACGCATCATCTCCCCGTCATTTGAAAGGTGGCAGGAAGGCGTGAAAGTTTTTTTTTTATGTTCTGCACTCTTCCTGTGTGTCACTTCTCTCTGGAAATATGATGCTGATGTCTCTTTTTTTTCCCCACCAGACCAAGTCAGAAATGCAGGTCGAGTTCTACGTGAGTGACATTCAAGAGGTATGTGACAGATCTGATCTGTGATTATAGTGTCACGTCTTCACACATGCTGACATTGTGAATATAGCCTGACTACATATCACCTCCATTCTATCTTATATGACATCTGTCTCACTTAACAAAGTCTATGTGCAAAAATAAACTGACTTTTAGCCTACTGCCCCTCTGGTCAGTCATAATTTAATGCAGTTTTTTTCTCCTTTGCTGATTAAAGCCGTTTTATATTTATTGCTTATCTGTTTCCTCCCTCAGGTGGTAAAAGATACAGTAAATATTCAGATTGGAGACGTGAATGATAATGCACCAAACTTCCATGGGCAGCCCTACACTGTTCATATACCGGAGGTAAGAAACACAACAACTGGGGAAATAAACACAATTTAGTTTTTTTTTAACCTCTAGTGCTCTAAACTGCCTTTTGCTGAAAATGTAAAGACAGATTTCTATACTTCAAAATCTCTGGTTCCTCGTAAAGCTGATGTAGACTTTCTTACAAAAGTGTTCATACAATATATTTTGAATATTTTTAATCATTTATCACATCTCAAACACACACTATACTGCAGGGATCTTCTCTTCCAGTCCTCGATATCCGATGTCCACCATCTTTTTGATGTGTCCCTGCTTCAACACACCGGAGTCAAATAATGAGGTCGTTAGGAAAACTCCAGAAAACTTAACTGCACACTGAGAAGGTGTGCGGAAGCAGAGACTCATCTAAAAGGTGAAGGACACCAGACGTGGAGGAATGGGGTGGAAAATCCTGTTTTACTGTATTTTTTTTCCTGTAACAGCCCAATGGAAAGTAATGCTTAGTTGGAACGCTGAAAAAATATATTAGAATTGTGAGACAATTAAAGTTTTTGGGGAGGATTTTCTTTTTCCGGGTGGATCATCTTAATAAGCAGAGATGGGAAATATCGAAGTACAAATACTTAGTTACTGTACTCAAGTAGATTTTTCTGATATTTTTACTTTACTACTTATTTTTATGGCGACTTTTTACTTCTACTCCTTACATTTT